ATATATATATATATATATTAAAATGTATAATGGGGTATGTCTTAGATATTAAATATATATTCCATACAAAATAAAATAACAAAGTATTATCATACTTTTAAAAATCATACATAACATGCAAGCATTCCAGCAGCAGGGAGACAGAACACCCAAAGTACCTTGATATTGACATGCTAGTGTATGAAATAAATTGTCTGGGTGAGCACAAAGGTCTGCATACAAACTCCAAAACTGACCCTTTGGTTCTCTATGACTCATCAGTGGGTGCACCCAAAAACAATGTCTCCTGAGAGTAGGTTGCTGTAACAGTAGAATAACTATCACCAGGAGCATGCCTGCATTCCATGGACCCATGTTGGGCCTATTCACAGGTAACACAAGGTCAGAGGAAGCAGGGAATGATCTCAGAAAGATGATCTGCATACTGACAAAAAATGCATGGCAATGCATCTACAATGCATCAAAATGCATATACATGCTTGAGCAGAAACGCTTGGTGTAAACAAGCCCTTTATCCTGCATGAATGCAGCTAGGATGACCTGACTCAGCTAAACGCAAGTATATACAATCATTTAGATAAACCTGCAGAGTGTTACCATTAAATACATAACACTGAGGTTATTATTACTACTTGGCGAATGTTGAGATATTCCAAAAATGCTTGTTAAGGTGCCCATACACCTGCCGATTATCGCGGGTGTTCCTGCGATCGTACGATAATCGGCAGGTGAATGGGCAGCGTGCGACCTCTTCCACTGTAAGGTCGCACGACTTTCGTCTTCCGAGCACGCTGGAAATCCTGCCGGCGGGTTGGTGGCGTGCTCAGAAGATGAATGCCGCACACTGCCCACTCAGCACTGCAATCATTGGAAGCCCTCCCCTCATTTTATGCTTGAGGTGCCCATACACCTTACAACCATTGCAAGATTTTTGTCTTGCGATGGTTGTAAGCTAATTAAAAGCTCGTACAATCTGCCCATCTTGGATAGGCAGATCGTACTCGCGATCATCGCAAGCCCGCCCCCCTGACTGCAATGAAGGGCGGGCTTCCGATGACTGCAAACGGGCAGTGTGCGCGTGCGCACACCGGCCCGTTCTTCAGTTGTCGAACAAGCAGGCCACTAACCCGCCGAGAATTGTACGATTCTCGGCGGCTTTTCAAGCCTGTTTGTTCAACGGAAGACGTGCAACCGTACAGTAGAAACGGTTGTACTCCTTCCATACACTTTGCGATTCTCGTATGATAATCATACAGTGTATGGGCACCTTTACACTGTCTTCCCAGAAATAACAATTGGTGTGTTACATGTGTGAACTTATAAATCTATTAGGGACTTAGGGAGCCTGCCTGCATATCCTATACTTTAACTCTTCTAAATTTGGACTTCTACTGGGAAAACCTGTTTTCATCACTACTATTGGGTCCTGTTCTTATCCTAGTTCTAAAAGAAACCTGTAGTAGCAGGACAATCGGCAGTTGGGATCTGCTAAGAACTGTAGTCACGTTACACTAAATAATGAAACAGTGACTGCATCTGACTATATGCAGTCACTGTTTGGCGGGCAATTTTCTACCTGGCATCTTTGAATTTTCAATTGACTCAACACAAATCAGCCAAAAATTTGCTGTTTTTGTCTATTTTTACTCTAATAAGTTTCCTTGCTAAAAGTGTGCTTTAAAAGCTCCTATCTGGATAAAAGCAAACCACTCCCTTAGCTCTCAACAATCCCCCTGCTACCTCTGATTCACAAAAAAAAGCCCTTTAAGCATACTTTTTCCCTCTCCAGGGTCCACTGTGACAATTTGCAGTGCCTCTTCTGGTAGTTGGGGAACGGTGATCCATTACTGCGGTCCTGGTCCACTAAAAGGCATTGTTGCTGTGCCTCACATTGTGATGTAACACCGCTGCCACCTGAAGCCTCTAGGAACCCATTATGACCCCATTGACTGATTCATAGAGCAAACAGAAAGTGACATGTGCACTCACAGAAAGAGCCTCCCAGTCCAGAAGAAATAAAACTCAGCATCTCACATGACAGGTAGGAAATTGTGATATTTAGTTTGCTTTTTTTTAAATAGCCCATCAGCAAGAGGGGGTGGGGTGGGGTGGGGTGGGGTGGATAACATTTTACCTGGAGATCAGCATTAAAACTGAAAGAGACCCTGTCACTTTGGCTTCTTTATATCAAAGCCAATGTTTTCATCTAGTCCTGAAAGATCACAGCACCAGACTTCTGGAGTGACTTCAGCACTAGTTGTAGAGTCGAGCAAATTTTGTGAAGCATCACAATAAGTAGGTTTTCTTTTTAGTGGAAATTTGTATAACAAGTCAGCATGCTTTCTTAATGAATGCCAAGAGAAAATTAATTGCAGCATAAGGCATTATAGCTCAGACGTAAGGCGTAAATCAGTGTTGATATGATTTTTTTTTAATGGAGCTGGTTATAGCAAGAAAGGAACGTTCTAGTAAAAAAACTGCCACTGATGTAAAACATACCTACATAGCAGTGAGATCATATTAGACACAGATACTGAATGACTCGGAGGAGGGTGATTATGCAAATAAAACACCACTGGAACTCAAATGTTATGAATACCACATACAGTAGTATTGATGGAATATGGAGGATTTAATGGATGACTTTTCCTTCTAAGATTGCTCGTTGCCTGCTTATCATAATAATCCAATGGCTTAAATACTTTCTAAACCACTGACCAAATATGCAGACCAGAACTGACTGTGACTGACTTCACTCTAACATTACAGTCTGCATACTTTTTCCAGGTCATTGGCCAGGTCAAGTATTAAAGATTCTCGGGGCCACCAGCTGGAGATCTTGGTTTTTCCCAGTTCTGATTTCCATTTAGAACAAACCTTTGGTAAAGGTTTTAAGTAAATAACTCAGGCACAGTTGGTCACAGCACGAGAAGACCAGTCCCTGGTTACACCAAGTGGATAGTAAGTAGTATTATTGCTATTGGGAGATACATAGTGCAGACAGTAGTTGGTCACAGTATGTTCAATAATCCTTGATGACCCTTATGGAAAGTACGTAGACCATTTGCTGTTGGTCATAGTAATAAGTATTTATCACAATAACTGGTGACATAATTTATATCATGACTAGTCAAAAGATTGAGAGGGCTTTTATAAAAGAGGGAAGCATACTGTAAACTTCATGGATCTTTTTAACAAATATTTTTTTTCTATATAGTCCAGGAATACATCTATACAGGACACATCTGAAGACATAAAAGAGGCTGTATTTCCACAACAATGATAAAGTATAGCATCTTGTGGCACCTGCTTTAGTGTTCAATCTTCACACAGAAGGCTTCAAATTCTCCAAGTCAAGACTGAGACCCCCTTTTCTCACACACACACACACACACTCAGACGCACTCACTGAGGCCTATGTCACACTTGTGCACCCACCGCTGGCAAGAACTTGCCAGCAGCAGGATCGTTCTGAAGGAAACAACAGGGAGGTGTAACACTCACCTGAAGCATGTGTCAGTCTCTCATTTACTGGATATGCAACACATTGCTCCCTCACTTTTCGCAATGAGGGATCGACCCATAGCTAATCCAGCTGGCAAGGCTGTTAATTGGCGAATATTCACCAGTGACAGGATCGCTCGTTTGACATCAGGCTCAGCCCTCTACCATCGTTCAGCTGTAAAATTCTACTGACTCTATGGCTGGCATGCCACAGATGAAGGACAAACAGGGGGAATAGCATCAGGACAGAGCTTAACCTGATTTTGAGAGAAGCTGAGGCCAAATGTACATCTAATTTCTAGGATCTAAGGGGCTATACAAAAACACAGGGTTTGGTAAAGATTAGCCCAAATTCTTGGCGCATACACTACAGCACTGTCATTACCTTTAGGCACTTTTTAGTTCAGAATGGATTCACGTTAAAGCACAAATATTTGAATCAAGGT